TTTTTGCTGTTGTGGCTTAAGCATTTTTTTTTCTGATCTCCAGTTGGTGCAGATTATGTTGGCAGCCGATGACTGCAGAAAAAATAAAAATATCAAAACCGAAAAGAAAAAAGAAGGCCCTCCCCAAACCAAAGGACTTAAAAACAAAACCCATATGGCGAGGAATGGAGAGAGGATCCTATTGTCTTGGAGGCCCATGGAATCTACTTCAGTCTATGAAACGTTCTCCGAAAAGAGCACCGCTGGCTGGCTGGGAGAGCTCTGTTCTCTGTGTTTCCTACTTCTGTGTACATTCTCGGGTTCAAGTTTGCTTGCATTTTGCCTTTTTTTTTAATGTTTAATAAAAAAGCAGTGTCTGCTGCCATGTTGCGTCTCTTTCTCTTTGTCTCTGTCTGCCTCTGTCTCTGTACTTGTAGTTGTTCCTTGGAGCGCGGTGTGGTGTTCTTGATGTAGTGAGCTCAAGTCTGCGGCTGTTTCTGGGGACGTGGTGGAGGCTGCATGTTCTGTTTTCTCCAGGAAGAACTAGTGGTTTTCTACCCTGTGTGTTGGTGAGCAATGTGCAGAGGCAGAGCCGCTGAAGTATGGTTCCTGAGGGGGTGGCGAAGCACCGCCCTCACTCCAGGTCACCTCATCAGCCCTCGTTTTTTTGGCCCCAGCGCCAGGGTGGCCAAAGCTGAGAGGCATCAAAACCAATGCACAGCCAGCCCCTGCCACTAGCCCCTGCCGGTCTGCACATCTTCTATTTATGTTCCTTGGAGAAGAAATAGTTGGTTGCCATGTTTCTGTTAGCAGTCAGTCATGTAATGCCATTGCCCGCTCTGGTACATTCACTTGGTCACCAATTTGCCTCTGACCTTTGGAGGGAGCAGCCAGGCCCGCAGGGCCCATTGTGAGGGTCCTGGGAAGAGACTAGCCCACCCTGCCACTTCTTCCCAGCTGCAAGGGCAAGCAAGACAGGCCTACCTGCCTGCCTGGGAGTGGGGGCCTGTGGCCTCCCAGAGCCTCGTGATGTCAGCCCATGGCCTCCCTCAGCCCATGGCCTAGTCCGATGAATCAGACCAAGAGATGGACGATCTTGTTGATTTTCAGAGGGAGTGCCGCTGTTTTTCAAAGGCAATCCTCCACCTCTCCCGCCTACCAAAGGCAAACCATTCTTGACAGACACTAGGAAGGGGGTTGTCCATCTCGACCCCCTGAAGAGATGTTGAGTGCCCTCTACAACTGAGGCGAGGCATGTCTGCCCTGGTCCGATCCGGAGTGTCTGACCTCCACAAGGTCAATTTGCTCAAAGACTCTGCTGCAAGAGCCCAGGAGCCCTTACCACCTCCTCCACCTGTCATCCCCACAATCAGACCCCTCTCCACGGCAGAGGACCACTCCCAGCCCAGTGGGAAGAGAACCAATGACTCTAAACAGGTACTAAAAGGAAAGCAACAAAATCTGTTTGGGAGCTGCTACTGGTTGCTAAGCCCCTTTGCTTCATCTTCAGTGAGGCCCTGCTCCCCACCCCATCCAAGCCTCGGCCTCAATTGTACCTTCCGCAGCATTAGAAGGCCCCAAGCAGTAGGACCCAGAGGCCCCTCATTTGCCATCTATCACTGGGTGTCTTCTCCAAGAACTGAACCTGATGCTTTCACCCATGTCCATAGGAGCCCAATGGCATTACATAACCCTGAGCCCGGATTTATGAAGTGCGCTAGTTGAGTGGAGGTGAGGGAGGTGTGTTTAGAACAAAGTGGCTGCGGGATTACCTTGTCCACTGAGGTTGGGGTTTGTGTAGTCCCAAGTATCTTGATCATTCTTGAACACATTCAAGCGCGTAGGCTGCAAGGACAAGACAAAGCTTGAGATGGGCCATGCCTGATCTCACTTGGAAGCTGGTGAAGGGGCAATTAGCTCCTAGGCCTACCTTTGCATATTCGATTTTCAGAGTACAACAGCCAGAATAAATGTCAGCCCCATTGAGCGAAGCCTTGGCTCGCTGGGCGCTTTGCACAGAGTCAAATGTGAGCTAGGTTAAAGAAAGTCCTGTGATGACAGCTCTTTTAAGGACTGTAGGTCATTCCAGAAAGGTGTGACAACAAACCAGCACCCAGCCTACGGTGGACGTGAGCTTTTAAGCCCACTTACCACCCAAAGCTCCACGTCAGAGGTCAGATGTGGAGATCAACTGGAGTGCTGTCTCCACCAGAGCTCTCTCCAGCCACCAGCAGAGATGGTAATAACCTTCTCAGACACCACCCCAAGCCAGGTCACCTTTGTCACAGACCTCTCTTATTCTACCTAAGTGTGAACTATTTCTGAAATAGTAACCAGATCATACCCTAAAGTCCATCAGGGGCTTCCTACCGAAGAGTTGGACCACTGCCAAGGACATCCTAGTGACCTTCTCCATCAGCTCTAACAAAAGCCTCTCCACTTGCCAGCCAATGTACAGTCCTCAGGTCTTAGGGTTCCCCTTTATCTCAGACCCCCATTTATACTCCTTTCCTCATATGCCTCACAGCATTCTACTCTTAAGATTTACACTATCATGATACAAGTCTCCATCTTCCCTGTCAGACAGTAGGCTCTGTAAGGGCATTTGGTTCATGGCATGCTAACTCAAATATTCCTCTGCCAAGCCATGTGACATCTCCACCGAAAAGAACACCTGTTTCTCAACAAAGGATATTCCACCATGGCCTGGACTCCATTCTTCCGGAAAATGACAATTCTCTGGACAGGGCCACAAGGATTACAGATAGTATACAGAACATCCTGTAAAAGCAAACACAGGCAAAATGACAGGGCCATAGCAGGTCATTTGGCTCAAGGAACAGGGCCAAGAAAAGAAGCAAGATTTCAGAGGAGCCTATAGAAATGCTTGCTGGCACGAACCGTAGTTATGGAATAGATGGGGTTCAGAATGGTAAAGAGAAGCACACTGTTGACGCTCCGGGAATCATCAGAGTCCCCAGGGCGGGAGATCTTCTGGCTGGTAGAGTAATTGACAAAAGCTGGGTGACCAGCAATGTAGATCTGGTTGTCGGCTGCGTAGTTCACTGCATTGCAAGCACCCAACACATCTTCAAATTCCACTAGTGCCTGTCTCTTCTTGGGCATCACCACCACATAGCTGTAGAGAGAACACAGGTTTCAATACTCTCAGGGGAATGGAAACAAAGGACAGTATCTTCCTCTGGAACCCACTCATGGTTTCCAGATGCCAGCACGCTGTATCACAGGTAGTTAAAAAATCACTATCTCCTCTGGGATATACTCCTGCCCTCTCCTTACTTAACTTAGTAAGATACCTCCCATAAACCCTGGGACCAACCCTATCACAGAGCTAATCACTGAAGGAGGCAACTTTCAGGAGAAATCCAGAACAGTTTTGTTCATATTTACATTCCCAGGACCTAGCATATGTCAAATATCCATTAGACATTTGCCCTTTAAAAAAAAAAGATTTTCATTATGTAGTTCAGGATGTCCCCAAACTCATGGTGATCCACCTGCCTCAGCCTCTTAAGTGCTAGGATTACAGGTATGCACCACCATGCCTGACTTCAATAAAATATTTGCTGAGTGAAAGAATGATAACTGTTTGGCCCTGAATAAGGATGACAAACCAGAAACTAGTGACACACAGGTATCAAGAAGGCACTTCTTTGGAAGACCTATCCCTGGTCTATGAGCCCAGTACCTGATAGGTCCAAATTCCTGTAAGGCCTCCACAAGGTCAGCTTCCACCACACCATCAATCAGGCCCCTGATGTGGACAACTGGGGAGGCAGGGGTTTTGTGAGGATCATCATAGTTCTCCTGAGGAAGAAAACAAAAGACCCAATTTTCTACTGTTCAAGATGGCAGCCCACTGGGCTGTGCTACTGCAGAGGGATCCAGTTAGATAGCACAGTTAAGAGTTATCCAGGAAGGATGCACAGGGCAGAAAGGTGCAGCAATTCAAGCCAATCACACTGAAATGTTTCTGGACAAGCAGAGTAATGGCTCTCTTGCCTACTGGCTACAGCTTCTAACAAGCAGAATGGAGTAAAGAATAAGGAGGTTTTAAATATTATATTCCTCTAGGAACTTATCTCTTCTTGCTCAATCAAGGAAACACAGGGAGAGAGTGGCTTGGAAAAGGTCACATTGGTATGGACTCAGCTGTCTGCAGCATGAATGAGGACATGTGCTCCAACTTCTTTGCCTTTTCTCTGAGCAAGACATCACATAACCAAACATGACTGCTGCCTACTAGTCACCCCCAAGTCTGGCCAGGGCAAAATAGCATGTATCCCTGGACCTATGACAGCCAAGACAGTCTTGACCCTTTATGGTCTTTTATCTCCCACCAAAATTTGCTTTAAGAAATACTGCTTAGGTCATCTTAAGGAATAGGAGAGGAAGAAAAGTTCTTTCACAAAAAACGAACTGCAACTCATCACCTAGAACCAAAGGAGCCTCTCCTCTCTTCCCACCCAGAGATAGAAGCCTCTGGGATTTAGGATTAAAGTTCTTTCTCCTCTATCTTTTCTGGGCTCTAGGCCAGGCCTCCTCTCTGAATCACTGGGCAGAAGTGCATGAAAAGAGGCAGAATCGGATTTTACTTCAGGAATGAACCTTGCTAAACCAAGGAGGCACACCCTTCCTGGTGGCTACTTGTTCTGAGGTTAAAGTTCCACAATTCTGAGTTCTAATCACAGCCCTGTCCCTAAATATGTAAAATACCTACCTCTTTATCTGCTTACTACTCTGCAATTGAAGAAATACTATTATTTCTCCCAATCTTTTAAAGAAATAGGGATTCAATTGTCTCTTAATTACAACATGTGGAACAAAGCCAAGGCTCCCTTTATTCTATTGACCTGTAGTTCCTAAACTGGACCCTGAAAAATCTGAGAGCATAGACATTTTAGAACTTTTAAAGGACGAAAACTGGTCTCTTCAGAGTGGGAAACAACAGGCTGAATTTCCCCCAACATAACCACACATCCACGGAGTATTTTGGTTTATTAAATCCCCCCAAATTGTAAGCAAACTTGTGATGGCTCAATGCTTGGGTTAATTCCCTACAGGCCAAAATCCTCTATTTGAATGTCCAGAAAAATGGAGAATATTTTCAAAAAATCAATTTCTGTATGCAGTTTGGCTTGACGCTGTGACTGAAGTGATGGGAGATGGGACGCAACGTACAACTCCGCGAGGATACCGACCGCCGTTGCAGCTCTCGAGGTGCCCCCTCAACCGCCCACGAGGCTTAGCGGGAGAAGAGCGCGTGCGCCTGGGGCCAGAGAGGAAAATGATAAAGGGGCGAAAAAAAAAAAAAAAAGCGTCCCGGCCTCATGCCCGGCCCCCACACGCCAGCCCGCGGCGCCTGCGCACTGTGCAGGCCGCAGCGCGAGTAGCTACCTCCGCCCCCTCAACCCCCAGCGCTGGGTTGCGCGCACGCGCAAACGCCTATCATCGCGCAAACCCCGCCGTTTGCCCAACGCCTGCCCCTCCCCCACTCCCGTCAAAGGCGCGAGGGCCCGGGCGCCTGCGCAGAACGGCTTCTCAAAAATAAATGCCTTCAAACTACAAAAATTTCCCTCCCTTCCCAGAGCCTAAAACCCTGGCCTCACCCCG